GAAATCAATCAGTGATGCTCTGAAAACCCCCTGGTCCACTCGCCTGCGTTAGTGTTGGCGTGTATCAGAAGAATGTCTTTTAATTAATGCGCCTCTCAGCAGTGCGCATTGTGACGCCGGTTTCCTGTTGAGTTGTTGGCTTGGTTTGCGCAGCGTGGACTAACCGTTTGGGTCTCAGCGCTCCTGTAGGCCTACTTGCCGTGTACGTTCTGAAGAGCGAAGGCAGATTGGCCGTAAACCAGAAGCGGAACCATTAGTACGTGTTATGGCTGAAAGTCACATGGAGTAAACTTTTGGATTTTCTTGTTTTGAGAACAGAAAAGGCTGGCCACCAAGCAGCTGCTGTGATGGGAAGAGGACTGTCCCCGTGGACCTTTTTAATGATTGTTTAGAGTTGGGGAAATATTTCTAACTTTAAAAATACCTTTCTCGTATTTTTGTGACATCTAACTATCCAACTGAATGTCTTCTAGGAGCCGATATTTTTGTTGGGTGTGGTAAGCATTGCCAGGAGAGACTTAAATTAATATTTAAAAGGTTAAACGATAAAAGATTGAAAGGATCTGTGACACTGGGGATCTGCTCTATGAAATATGCATTTGGCTTTGACAAATGCTTGTGACCCTGTGGCCTGCTAAGGTATATCATTTATTCTTCAAGTAAGTGCTATTCCAGTATATACATTTTCAACAGCAGCACACGTTTTGTTTTTAAAGCGAATCTCTTCTTTTTTCAAAGTAAAACAAATGGATAGATTTTAATTTCCCTAATCTCTCTTGTTTTGATGTATCAAACTTTCTTAGGTTACTGCTAGATAAGATCTCTGGGTGTTCATTTTCACTCCCTCATGAAGTGCCAGCTGACACGGTTATAATTTCACCATTTATTATCAGCCAGTAAAAAGAACAAAGCTTCCCACTCAGCTACGCTTGTGTGGTGGTGTGGTATTTGCTATTTATTTGTTTAAAAGGGGCGTAGGGGCTGCTACAGTAATCTCTCCCTCTTTCCTCCCCCTTTCTTGTTTTTTTTAAAAGTTCATTACCATCACCAGAGGCGCGTCGTAGGGGTTAATTTAGCGCCGAGTTGGGGAGCGTCAGGGCGCACACAGTGGTCTAGTTGTGTCGATCACTCACGCAGAGGCGATGCCCTTTTGTGGAGAGGTCTCTTTCCACACAGAGGACAGACGGCACTCACAATCACGACGCAGGGACACAAAGAGAAGAACTGCATTTTAAAAGGCTCCATTCTTTCCCAGCAACCGCTGGGTGTTGACTGTGGGTGTTTGAGAGGATCTTTGTTGCCCGGAGAAAAGTAGAGAGGAAGAATACGCGCCGTATACGGGTTGGGGGAATTTTTATGGACAGGGTTACTACAGTGCAGCTGATGCTGTCATGCACTCCACCTATGTTTGCTTTCCCGGAGTCTTGTTTTGCATGAGGAGCTGAACTTTTTACGCATTGTTTTACGCATTAATTGGACGCGACACTGTCAAAATGAACTTTCTCTCCCCGGTACCTGTGGCGTAGCTGTTTGAGCCGGATCATTATACCTTCAAGGAGACGAAGTCATTGTGTGGATATCTGCCGAAAGGATGCCAGTTGATAAATTCGCAAACATGGAGGAAAAACTGTGGATATTGGAGGATCTCAATATGATGTACATCCGCCAGATTGCACTCAGTTTACAGGTACAAGTTTATTTCAATTTCTAGTTGACCATCACTTGTCTCTGACCTTCTGCTCGCGTTTTTTTGTTGTTATTTGCGCTGTCTTCACCAGATTTTACACAATGTCTAGCTGTGGGGTGTGTGGTCATGTCTCGCACTGTTTAATTTGTCTTGATTGAGAACAAGCAGATCTTATTTATCACTGTGTTAGCTGTGTTTCTGTTTGTTGTAGCGTTTACAGAGGAGTTGTAGTGAAGGATCTTTCTATAAGGGACAAACGAGTCGAGCTGGCTCTGGTGTGGTCTCCCCGTTACAGATGGCAAATCTTACACTGACGGTATACAGACAACAACACCGCATGCCATCCATCTCTCCCTCTCCGTGTCTCCCCTTCCAACTAGGGTTCACTCACAGTCCACAGCTGCACATATGGGCCTCGTGTGTGTGTGTGTGTGTGCGCGCGCGCTAGTATTGTGTTCTGAGAAAGACAGAAAGGAGTCATTCCATACAACATGACTAATGTCTAACCATCTTTTTTTTTTTGCTTATATCAACAATGTACTAACTATTTCGGTGGAAATAACTAACAAATGTCTCCATTTCATTCTTAACAGAGTTGAAAGGAGGAGACACGTGGCCACTGGAAATATTACAAGATGTTCAAAGCGAAATTCTATTATACTTGATTTTCTGGCCCCATAATCTGCAAAGATAAGGGCTGTCTGTGCTGCAGCTAAAAAAAGCAGTGTTTCTCTTCCACTATATGTCAACTGAAATCTAGTCCAAAAAGCCTTCAGCTGTGTGACACAAGGGCTGTATGAGAGGTGATATCACTCATGGTGTGTTGTACCTTCTAGCAGTTTGGCATTGTTTTCATGTGCAAGGTGTTTATTTGTTTATCCACCTGTGCCAAGCGCCACAGAGCAATACAACTTAATGCCAGCTTCAGCTTGTGTGCAGCCTGTAGTCTGTTCTCTTTTTGAGACATTATGGTTCCCAAATACTTGAATCTGTCTTAAAAACACTCTGTAAACTTTCGATACACTTGTGCTGCTAGATTGTCCCGAGGCTTGTATAGCATTTGTAGCCTAAAATGTCACAAAGCAGCTGTCACAAGGTGTTTTTACCAACAAATTGATCGGGAACTAATCAGATTATTAGTTCTTGTCACAGAGCCTCCTTTTGATACAGTTGTTTACAGCTCGGACATAGATTTGAAAGTGGTTGAATTGATTCTGGGGCATTATGTTGGAATGTAGATAACAGGCATTGTTTTGTTTCAGTTTTATTTCTGTAAATGCAATTGCAAGCGTAGGAATGTATAATAACGAAACGATGAGCCCGTATTTAGCCCTGTGGGAAAACTTGTCGCTTCTTCACAGGGAGTTCAGAGGTCAGGGTCGGCTGCAGAGAGGCTTTACTCTGCAATAACCAGTGAGAATTTCAGATTTTTGGACAGAAAGTTGTGCTCGCCTTCAACTCATATAAGTATTTTTTGCTGGTAAACACTAACTTGTTTGCTCAGTCGCTCGCTCTTCCCCCCCCCCCCCCATGTCTCCTCTGCCTGGGTGGGTTTATGAGACAGGGATTCTTTGTATGTAGCTGAGCTTCACGGCCCACAGTTTAACTGTAATTTCAGCTAGCTATGGATGTTTTTTTGCTCCAGGGTCTTTCGTAAACGTCCTGCTGGATCATCACGACTTGCAATTATTACACTGTAAACCCTTTTCTCCTCCTCTTTGTTTTTCCCTGCGGCAACATAAAGCCACTCTCACCCAATGCATACACATATATACATTTACAAACTATAAAGAAAAACACCTTGTTTGCTGCTGTTTTTTTTTTGCACTAGTCATCTCACAAGATAAGAATATTTGTCATTTAAAAATAATTAAAAAGTGAGAAGATCACGCATGTCCTGAGGTTCCAGCATTCCTCAGTCTTGTATAATTGCTGTGTCAGGAGGGGAAAGAGAACAGCCATTGTGTTATTTGCGAGCTCAGTAGGAAGACATTTTTCTGGTCTTCAGGTTTTAACAAGTCTGTTTATAATAGGAATATCTGCATTCTTGGCTCCAATGTAATGTTTTCTTTTGTCTTTTCCTCCATAAGACAGTCACAGCAGCGCTTCTTCTTTAGTGTAAAAAGCATTTTGCCCATAGAATACAGAGGAGAGGTGGTCGATAGGAAACAGGAAATGGTCTTGTGTAATTACTTTTTCCCAACGGGAGCAACAAAATGATGTCATTGAACTTGCTGCCTTTTAAGAAAGGCATACACACCACTTCCTGTCACTACAAACGCAAATACAAAGATTTTTTTTTTGTTGCTTTGCTTTTAATTTCCTGTTGTTTTCGCCTATCCTGCTTCTCATCTCTCTTCACCTTCTCAGGCTGTGTCCCCACCGTCCCGTCGCCCTCTACACATGGGTATTGCCCGAGGGCCGTAGATGGACACTTTTCCCCTGGTCTAATTTTAGCCTGCAGACTGGCCTTGAATGCACGGATCGTGGCTTCAACAGAGTTAAATGTGGACATTTGTGAAAAGTTATAAAAGCAGGATTTGTGTTGTGTCCATTCTGTAAGTCAGGGATTGTTTCTGACAGTACAATACTTTCTCAGTGAGTGAGTGTGAATGTGTGTTGACCTCACTGGACCACAGTGGCCCTGCTCAACTCAGAAGGGGTGCAGCCTGGGGCATCAAGCTGCTACAGCTCTGGCCTGCTACTGATCATACCAATGATATTGTCAGATGAAAGATTTAAGAGATCCCCTTTTGGGTTTCTGCTACAGTTGAGGTATTAAATCAACTGACCCTTCACTCTTTGTTGAACCTGTGAAAAACACCAACTTGGAAGTGTAGCTAAATAAATAAAAAAAAATGTTATAAAGCTACTGTGGTTAGAAAATCCCCAAATTATCTGCTGATGTTCAACACTTCAGCGATAGTAAAACAGGATATCCTGCTCCTAGTTAGTGGTGTAACAGACAGTTGTCGATCTGTGATCTGTACGGATCCCCCCTCACGGTTCGGCACCATGTGAACCGCGGAATAATTACACAGTTTAACGTTAACCATCACAATGTGAAATTATGTCTTACTGACATCAGCGTTTATACATTTCTAGTTGACGATATCAATGTTACATTGTAAACAACCAATCATTGTTTAAATTGACAGGAGAATAACTAGTTAACCATGGCGGCACCGCTAATGGTTAAAGAACGTAGATTCCGTTTGGTTACATTATGATGCAAAACATCGTTAAAACTACTGACAAGATTTGTTTTAAACCATAAAAATGCAATATTTCCATATCATTTGAATTGTGTGTTTTTATGAAGGAGAAAAAAAAACACTGTAGATGACTTTTACAAAGTAAAAGGATAACATTAAATATTTTACTCCGAGCAGTTGAAATTATTGTTTGGATGTGGTGAAAAGTCTGGAGCCTTGTAGACCAGCTCCTGTAATCAAACAACAAAGGGATCTGTATCTGCCAATATGGATCAGCAGTTAGTATAGGCGGCAAAACCTTATTAGGGATTTCTAAAAGTTATATTTGCGCCCCTTTTTTTTTTTTTTTTAATGATTCGTTGCACCACTACTCATACTCAGGCCAGTATACTGCAACTATGATTTTAACAATAATGCACAAGTTCTATAGATGTCCTTAAGCAAATAGACAGATTGACCCTAACATGTTGTAGTCCAGGGAACTCTGACCCTTTTTTGACGATGAGCTCTCGTGGGGGTTCAGGTGGGAGTTTCTTGCTGCCTCACCCGGGACTCATGTTTGACCTCTCACACGCTCCCACACCCTAAATTTAGCTGTGGCCATGCCTCAGATAGTTCTGTGGATTCTAGACACCACATGCAGGCGTTGAATATCCATTGGCTGGTGTTCATGCAGCCTCTCTTCATCTGATCTCAGATCACTGCCGTGACCGTTTCATTGAGTTGGACTTATCAGAAGTTGATCCGTCCACCCAGATCAATACAGACTCTGTTTCTATTTGAAACTGTGCTTGCACATAAATATCTTTTCTATGTGATTCAGTTTGTTCCCTTTGTCGTCATGTGTCAGAAAACATTCACTTTGGCTATTCTGCCATTTCCCTACTGTATATAAAGCCTTCTAAGTATCCGTCCTTGTAACAGAGATTTCTACCCTGACTTCATGCTTTCTAATTGTCGGAGGTCCTGGAGGCTAAAGGCCAAATTGACAGCAGTTAATCCTTCCCTGCTCTGGGAGAGTAAACCAGCATCTTTTTGTGCACTCCGGCTAGACTGATGAATCCCAACCTGGATGATGAATTTGTAGAAAGAGCAAAGGTTAATCTTATTTATACTGGGACTGCTAAACAGTGCATGTGACATTTAGCTTCAATCCACTGGATTACGTGGACCTAGCCTCGATTTTCTTTATATTTGCAATGTTCTGGTCCTATTCTTTCTGTTCTTGTCATCCTCAGTTAGATTCTTCTTTTATCGTTGTCATTCAATTATTCAATCTTTATTTTATTGCCCTTTCTGTCCTTGTGATGAATTCATCCCTTCAGCATTCAAGTAAATATCAATATATCCTTCCATGAAGACGCAGTCAGCAGTTGAAACCTGTGTGCGTGTGCATCTAGGTGAGTGTGTGTGTGCGTATGTTGGTTCAGCTGTGAAGTTGTTTAGGTAGCCTAAGTTACACCAGGCCCGCTTGCTTCAGTGGAAGGTGTGCTAAAGCTAACAGCGCTCGCTCTCCTGTGATACAGGATACACAGTTACATCTGAGCCAAACACATTCCTCCACAACGGACTACTTCATCGCACACCGCTAACCTGCTGAGCTCGCCTGTGTGCTTCTGAGAGTCTGTGAGTAAATATTTGCAAAGAGTAATAAGCCGATACTGTAAGCCATATAATCAAGCCGGGTGCTTTGCTTTGATTAAGGACATTAGGTTTATCACCCTGGATTTCACTGTTACTTGGAGATTGTTTTTATGGGCTTTTTGCATTTGTTTTGAATTAGATGTAAGAAATTCCTACAGTATTGCAACAGTCTCAAAATGGATGGAAATAGCCAGGTTTATTCACATGCAAGTGTTCTGCACATGGGGTTTAGTCTGTTTGCCGTGTGTGTGTGTGCGTGGTGTATTTCTAAGTGTGTCTTTGGCATCTATTTCACGGATAGCTACAGTCGATTCCAGTTCTTCCAGTGCTGTAAACCAAATGCAGGCACAGAGTGTGTGAGGTAGTGGAGAAAGAGGGCTTTGTATCCCATCACACACACCCATCGCTCCCTACCAAGCCCTCCTCTCTCTTGGAACCACACATCTAGCCCCTAACTCTAAGCTATCTCCTCCAAGTCTTCCTCTATCTCCTGCCAGCCTCAAGTCTACTGACTTTAAACCATCTGGCTCCCCACCTCACCTCTGCAGTCCCCCTAGACTTCACCACAGTGCTTTATCCCCCCTGTATCTCCTCACCCCAGCCATCGCCCATGCAGCGGTTAGGAGGTGCAGTACAGGTCTGAATGGGCACACTGTGTGAGCAGGAGCCAGTTAGATGCCGCGGCCTGAGCCAAGCTTCCTTTGAAAAACAGCAGGCATGAGTTAGGAGAGTGAGAAGGAGAAAACACAAAGCCAAACCGAGAGATGCTGTTATTGGAACATCGACCTGACTCCCAGCTCCAGCCTGTTTCTTTTTGCCATTGACTTCCCTTTCCTCACTATCTCCACTTGGATCTTTGATCATTTCACTCTGCTGCCGCCTCTATCTCAGCTTTCGGCCCTTATTTCGACACTCTTTTATCTCACCCTTCAGCATAAACTGTCTTTAATCCTCCTCATCCACTCTTTCGGCTTTCACCTGGGCACACACAAAGACACTTTGGCTTTTTAGTCAAAGGACTCTTTTGCAGCTGCAAAGAAAATTTAAGTCAGTTAAGCTGTTTGAATTGACACTGCAGGCATTATTCAAATGAGCACAGATTGGATTTAAAGCTATGTTTGACTTATCATGTCAGCAGCTCAGAAGTCACTGTTTTGAAGTGGAGATATTAAAAAACACTATTCCTTTGTAAAACATGTAATTAAGATCGTCTGAACATGTTCTGGTGATGCAGCTGGTTGCACAGGCTGTTAAATCAGATGGTTCTCTTTGTGTTTAAAGGGAGCATTTGGTAATGTGTTTAATTGAGCCTGTAGATGTTGCTTTTGTGTTCGTCCATATGGATGCAATTTCTGCTTGCATCTGTGTGTTCTATTTAAGTGTGCTTTCCAGCTTGTGAGATAAACTCTGCACAGTGTGCAGGATTGTGTGGAGGTTTACGGTTCATGCAGTGACTTTATTGATTTGTGTCTTTTGATGAGGTTTATGTGCAGTATGTGGGGGAGTTTTAAAGTGTGCATGAATAAATTCAGTCTATTTTTGTGTTTCTAATCTCTCTATCCCTCCCAACGCTGTTACCAGGCAAAGTTAGTTGCCTGGAACAGAGAGTAGGTGGAAGTCAAAGAGGCGGAGGACAAGAGAAGCTAGGGTTTTCTAAACAAGCAATTACCGTCATTAAAACAATCCATTCTCCAGTGAAGTTGAAAGCATCCTTGGCATCACCAGCATCCTTGTGACTCTACAGATTGTACCTTTTGGGGCAGCGTGTGTGTGATGTGTGTTTGAGCAGCAAGCCAATGTGTCTAATTTAATCACTGCACACTGCGGGATCCTTGGCCACTGAGTTGGTGTGTGTGTGGGTGGGTGGGTGTGTGGGTGTGGGTGCGTTGGCAGGTGGAATATCTCTGTCAGCATTTGGAGGGCTGCCATCTGAGAGTCAATTCTGCTTTCATCAAGGACAAGACATGATCTCTTCTCTCTTGCATTTAGGATGTAATGATGTTATTGTTTCAGTCTCCATCTCTTTTTCACAGCGTCTGTAAGAGGCCCACTAACTTAACATAAATAGCTGTTTGTCAAATTAATAAACATTAAAACAACCAGAGAAAGCTGAGCAGATGGCCTTGCAGCATTCGCGGAAGGCTTAATTATCACAGGAACAAAAGATGAGCTTGAGTTTTATGTGACTTCTGTGGTTGGACTCCTTCAGATTGATGGTTGTGCTGCTAAAGAAAACCTAAATGCCAAAGGCAAACTGTCACGGGGGAATTCTAGGGTTTAGAGGCGGGTCAGCAGGAGCTGGGGCTTAGGGCTGCGGTAGATCTGAGGGCCAAGGTTGCTGACAAGGTACGAGGTGTTGAGAGGCATGGCTGAGCTGTTCCACCCCCAAACAACTCCCCGTCCTCAAAAAAGCAACCTCTGTACCTCACCACGATGAGATCAGTGGAACAAACTCTCCAGCCGGATGATGTCATGTTTGGGACTTGGGGTCAAAATCTCAGGGTCGCACTAAGATGCGTGTGTGTGTCTGTGTGGGAGGGGTGTGCATAATACCCTTTGAGAATTTTACATGGGCTGTTGTGTTCATACCATCGTCTTTTCAACTTCCTGCAGTCTCCTTGCTAGGGATGGGACAATAAAGAATACTCACAATAAGTTGATCGTGGCAAATTTCTATTATCGGGATAATATTGACTTGAAGAAGCTGCCTAGCTTGCTAATATGGAAGAGAAGTGAAAAATATGCTTTTAAAAAGACTATCATGTAATTATCATGTAAAAAATACCAGATTCACACAATGTTGCTATATATTTTATTTCCTTTTGACCTTATGAGTTATAATTACCTTATTTAAGATTGTTTGTTTTTCACTAAAAATGATGCTCACTAAAAAAAAAAAGTAAGATTCAATAGAAAGTATTTGTTTTTTATCAACTTGTAAAGTTAAGTGATTCCAATATGTTTTGGTGTCATTTTAAGAGTTTTAAGCATATTTTAATGATTACCAGGATAATATTGTGAATTGCAATAATTCTGGCCAGCATAATCGTGACATGACATTTTCATATCGCCCCGTGACTACTCATTCACAAAGACACAAATGAGAACACACACACACACACACACACACTTGACTCTATTACCTTCTGTGTCCTCCTTCACCTTCAACTACTAAAAGCTTGCAGAGCCTAGTCGGAGTTAAAGAGTGTGCATATGTCAGTATATGTTTATCGTCATTCGGAGATGAAAAGAGTAATCCTTCTTATTGTTGGGATACTCAGGAAAGGGACAGTGATCCCTGTCGGTTCTGGGGAGAGGCATATAGCTCACTATGATTGGTTGAGACGAACAGCTAACCGGACTGAGACCCCTATTAACCCCCGCTACACTGAGCCGATCTGAAACACTGTCATTGATCCGTGCGGCTCGACACACAGACTGGCTGTTGGTGGTTATGTAACTTCATGTGTAAGTTTATTGAGGGAGTATTTTGGTGCCTACATAAAAACACACACAGCTTGTGTCCTCTGCAACCGCAGCTGTCACTGAAATGCACCAAGATTGACGGTCAGTATATATATATAGCTTTGAATATGATCTCTGTTTATTTAACTTGCAAAATACTACGGTATAGTTTGCAATAGCTATGTATCAATGATGACATGTCTCATGATGTTTATTAGGTTTCGCATGTTGCAGACGTTGATACTGTTGTAGTGATAATAATGAGATATGCAGTTTTTGTCATTTAGATTTACAGGTAAACTCTGCAGTGTATTAGTATGAGATGTGAATAAATATAGCCTCTTACATGTTATGACAGGCTTGAATCAATCACTCTGTGATGTTGATGTCAAGTCTGTTTGGTGTCAGGCTCTAGTCTACTCCCAGCATCCCATGACCTTTTCTCGGGGCAGCCTGACACTAGCATGAAAGCATGTCACTACATGTTTCTTGGTCCTTGCATAAGATAAAACCATGACAGGCACATAATAATATGGTCACAGTTTCTCAGATTTGAGGCACAGTTCAGCAGAGTGGAGTGAATGATCCAGTTTGTGTTTGTAGATGTTGCCATGCTCTTTTATGGCCAATAGGGGGCTGATAGGCTACCCACCATAAAAGCCACCATAAAAGAAATAACGGACTAAAAATCGGTGGTGAAAGGAAGAGAAAGCAATCAAATTCCTGTATTTTGACTTGTATTCCCGGCACCTTGCAATAAAGCAATTGAAGCTTATCCGTGTGCTCCAGTGCTTCCTTTGGGTCAGTTTATGTGAAATTACCCAGAGACCTTTATTCAAACAAAGGAATGTGAAAAATGTGGGTAAAATATTTGAAAGAGAAACACGGGCCTGTCCTTTAACAACCGCTGTCATCAGAGGCAGCAGATTAAAATCTGCACAAACTCGAGGTGTGAATTTTGCAAAGCTTATTTTCTGCGAAGTTGCTCCTTCAGGCTGTGATAAGAATTAAGATTCCATTATTATTACGCTTATGAAAAGATTACAAATTAAACAGAAATGGTTTAGGAAGATGTCCTATAATTAGACACAAGGCTACAACAGACTCTTTGTCTACAGAGGGAGGAAGGGATCTTGAGGATGTGCAGTAGCAGCAGAGAAGAAGGGGAAACACTTGTTTGAGAAAAACACTCATGTCGGTGAGTCAATAGGAAGTGCTCCAGTCTCAGAGGGAGGGGGCTGAGTCGGTTAGCCTGGCTGGAGGAATGTTCTCTCATTCTGTCGAATGCGGTGTAGTGACACTGTGAATGATGGTAATCATTCATTCAATGGTCCCACTGAGTCATTCAGCATGGGAGAACTGAAACTCACTGTCCAAGTATGTTCCTTATCTTATGTCCAGATTCCGTGAATATGTAATGTGTGCCACATTCCAATTCAACAGGTGACACCATAGTTAAAGCCACCACTGTTTTGTCAGTGTATGGTGTACATGCCGGTATCGGTATTGTCAATCACTCGTGTTGTTCCCTGAACTCTCCAGTGAACTGTGAGTGTAAATTTGTCTCCAACAGCACTTCTCTGGCTGGCTCTCTGGCACAGCTTCTTGCTGATGAAACCTTAATCTGATTAACTGTAGGATATTTACAGCTCTAAGTCCTGAGTTATCAAGGCGCATCTTGTTTTTGTTACCACGTCTACTCACACGGAGAGATGAGCAGAGAGAGAGCGCGATGGATTAGAGGGTTAAAGGCAAATTTTACTGTAACGTTTTTGTTGATGTTGATGAAGTGAATGCCAGGACAAAGCACCCCTGTCCTCCTCTGTTGTCCTTGGCTTGAGGTTAAGAGCTGCTTTCACCCAGCCAAATGCACAGATGTATTATTGTACCATTGAGGTGGACTTTGTTGCTCTGTTGCCATTAGCCAAGGCTGCCCACAGACTGACTCTCTCCTCCTCCATCCTGATCCTCCTACATGTCATCTGTTGCATCTCAGGACTGTGTACTGTATCTCATTCCACTTCTCAACCCACAAACAACACGCAACAAAACAAGTGTTGTGGTTTTTGTCTTCTTTTAATGAGGTTGTAGCCATTTTGCTCTGCTGATATTCAGGAAAATATTAAAACAATAAAGACGTTTGATGCTTTTTGGTTAATTCCTGCAGAGGTATATTTTCATAACGTTCTCTGTTTGCAAAATATATCCCTAAAACTCCAATTATTAGTTTTCCAGTGTGGATTTCCTGGAGCCATGCAGGTTTATTTGCCAAACTCTTATTCTAGCTGGACTCTTCTGTGTTTTCCGTTTCCACCTGCCCACAAATCACTCTCATACATCACCGGTCGACAAGCCGATGCACTCTCCCGCACAGCAACTTCCCAGTGCGCACACAGGGACCAGGCAATAAGCAGAGGCAGGCACAGAAAGAGAGAGCAGAGAAATACGGGTGGAGATTGTTATTTTTACCTGAATGATGACTTGTTCTGTCAGTGGAATTACATATAAATGCACCAAATGTAGGCTGATGGCCAATATTGTTTGAGCACACTGATGTTTTGATATTGTAATTTTTTTTTTTTCATTAGCCTTTTGGCTAATTCCCTGTCTAATTCCAAGAATTAAAAAATGATGATGGCCATATTTTACTGATTGCATACCTTATCCCTGGGCCAATCCGGGATTTAAAATGTATTACTCAGTAGAGCGTTTATAGTCCTCTACATGCACAGCATCTCTTCTATGGGATCACCTAACAAAGGCAGACATCAAGGGAGAGGTTTTGCTGTGACTGTCTTGTGTATCTAATTAGCAATTATTATAAATTAATAGAAAAAAAACTGTCCTCAATACAAATGAGATAATGTTTTTTTTAATAAACTTCAGCTGCTCATAGACGCGAGGAAGGAAGCCTTAGTACAATCTCATTTAGGCTACTGTTTGGTGGATGACACTTAAAAAAATAGCTGCCAACACCCCATGGATCCTGCTCGGGGACCACTGGAGGTCCCTGGACACAGCTTTGAGAGCAACTGCCGTAAATGACAGTTCGTTCTCCTCTGCTTGCGCGCAGCTACACACAGATTAGGAACACACACACACACACACGCGCGCACACACCCGCCTCCTCAGAAACGGCTCTCGGTTGGTCCATCAGCCGGTCAGTCTTTATCCTCCCTTGTGCTGGTGGTGTTGTGTGTGTGTGTGTGTGTGTGTGTGTGTGTGTGTGAATCCGGACTGGAGCTCTGGAGCTACTAGGACGTCGTCGACTACAATGATGATGACGATGATGATGAAGACAACACAGAGAGGGGTTGAAACGCATGACCGCGATCGTTCCCAAATTGCCAGGAGTGAGGTTTGTGTCTTCTGCGCGGATCCATAACAACTTCTGAGGCTAATAGACGGCAGCTATTTTCGGATTTTCGGTCATTATTTCCTTTAGCTTCTAAATGGAGCTGCCTCATTGGGAAAATCTGAGTTGAGGTATTTCACAGGGTGTGTGGGACGTTGAACGGACCTTGGTGTTGCGTAAAGCGCCCGTGCTGCTAGTTTTTGAGAGTTGGGAAGCGGAGTGCTGCTCTTTTGAAAGGATGAACAACTCAAAGAATCAAAGGGTAAGATTTGCTGTTTTTTCAGAGGACTTAGATGGAATGGAAAAATGACAGCTGTAGTGTAAAACACGTCACACTTGGGGTTAATTCGTCACCGTCGGATCACGTAAGCTCAATGATCGTAAGAGATTTGGAGACCTCTCATTGGATCTACTATTGATTGTTGTCTACCCTGATAATATGCGGTTTACTCATGTAAGGAGAAACGCAACGCCACTATTGAAAACCGCGTCATTTTAAAGTTACCTTGTTTATCTCCTAAATCTGCATTCCTGGTTGGTAATCAAGACCTGTTTAAAATCAATAACGTCGTTTTATGAATTTGGCTCGGGGCTTATTTAAGTAGAGGATTTTATTCATAAAATTTCATCTTTTAGAAATGGTTCACACTGCCTTTTTACTGCCCACCATGTGTTATCACAAGGGAGATTGAGGGAATAGATGAACCAGTTAAATTGTTTAATTGGTTCATGTATGCCAAACTGAAGAGTGGTACTTGATCTTTGAAATTTTGTATGTCATTCTCATCAAGTTAATGATTTCTGCTAATAATCATGATTATTTTTAAGGGAGTCTGGTTACAATATATCCTAAATTGGGCCAATTGTATATGATAGGTGTTCCTTTTTACATCAGAGGACAGGTATGTTGCATTAATTGCATTCGCTGTGGCCATAATGACCCAATTCAATAAAGCAGCTATTGATTTTGTTCCTTTGTTTGTCACCTTAAACAACTCACTCTCTATGGCTCACTCTATGCTGTGCTTGTGGGTTGCTGGAGGTTACTTTAGTAGGGGATAGTAACCCTCAATTTCATGTTCTCCGACTGCACTGTGCCGTATCACCCAGCCTCTCAGAGTTGGAACAATGTGACTGTTTCAGCAATGATGACTTGCATCTCCCAGTCATCACCCTTTCCCCTCTCTTGTGAATACATGTTTCCTAAGCGCCTTGAATTGGCAGCACAAAAATAGCTTGAGCAGAAAAAAAACATTGCATGTGAAAATATTATGCTTTTCATTTCTTTCTTTCTTTTTTCCCACAGCAATAAAATATCATTCCATGGTTTTCACATTAAGCGGTTTTGCTCAGAGAATGCCAGTCCACATAACAGTGGCATGTCAATCTTGCATTCATATTGCTATTTTAAGAAGCAGTTTGCCATGCTTTCCAGTTAAACACACATACACCGAACCACAGAAAAGTGCTAAAGAGAAAAGACGGCTAACATGCTAAACCCCTATAAGAGCAGTGGCCAGATGTCCTGAGTGTGTGACTGGCAGTCAGTTTGGTTTCTTAGTATAAGAAACCAAACTGTCACAGACCACTTCCTATAATCAACTTTTCTATCACCACTGAAACTCTATCCATGCACAGATTATCCAAACAACTGGCTGCATCTCTGTCTGTTGATTGCCTTCATTTTACTTAATGACAGGCTGCTTCCTGATGTGTGAGAGAGAGAGAAAGAGAGAGAGCAAGAGTTTAGATTTTAGTGTCATGTTGATTTAAAAGGTCACCTGCATCAACATCAGTCAGAGATTGAACGAGCCAGACAGATGTGATCTTTCCATTCCTGGAATGCAGCCTTCTGTGTGTGTCTGTATCTCAGTGTGTGTGGTGCAGAGAGAGCTCAAAGCGTGTGGTGTGTGTGTGTGTGTTCATGTTATCCCTATGTTACAGCCACAGCCATCTCTGATCATTAGTGAAAAGGTTACTTATGTGCCAGAGCTCAACCTCAGTGTGACAAACGGCATCCTTAATATACAGTCTTTCTGATGCTTCTTTTTGCAACTTTAGCTGTATTCATCGCATGCTGCAGTTAAACCGATTTATTATTTTTCGTCAGTGCCTTTCTGCTCATGCTTTTCATTGCCTTTGCAATTATAGAAGGGGGGAGAAAAGTCAGCGTCCTGTGTCAGTTCACTCGCTGTGGAATCCTTCGGCCCGTGTCTAACAATCAATAACCACTTACTGCAGAGAAGCTTTCCGCAGTCAAGTCTCTGTCTGTCCACACGGCTTTCTGTCTCTCTCCCCTTTCTCCACCTATCTATCTGGATAGGTATCTCAAGTGTCTCCTCTGCTTGTATGTGTCTGTCTCCCCTCCTCTTTCCTCCCAAGCCTTCACTCACCTCTGCAGTCACGTGTGTTTTCTCTTGCCGCCTCTTTCTGCCCCTGCTCTGTGCTGCTGTGTGTCTGCAGTAGAGGTCATTCTATTTTCTCTGCTGATATTGTCCACTGCTTTTTCCGGCGAGGAATGAGAGCGGCTGAGGAAGACCGCCCTATGTATTGTACGGAATAGCGGCAGCAGTGGAGGAGGAGGGGGTGAATTGGACTTGGACTATGTTGTGTGTGTGTCTCCTTGAGCCAGTTGTCTTTGGACTAGTGTGAAAAATGAACCACTTACACCTTGCCCCGCCACAATATTGCTTCGCCGTCCACCCAATTATAGATCTTTTAACTCCCACTTTTTCATACACAATCTTCCTCTCTCTAGGAGTTTCTTACTTTTCATATAGTCTCTTGCCAGCTCTGGTTCTCCTCTCCTGCTTTCAGTTTCCAGCTTCATGACTCAAGTAAACACTATACAAAGCCAGCTCAAAATCCGCCTGACATGCCATGGCAGAGCTCTCTCGGTAAAGTTCTGTCCAATTTATTTTTATTTTCTCTCCTTTTAGCCACAAGTGTTATTGCAGGCAGAGTGGCAGAGTTCTCGATGGGTTTGTCCTGGCATGAATGCCTCAAAACAGAAAGAAAATCAATGGAGAGTGTGTGGAGGGAAGACAGATAGGGTTGATGCAGGAGGATGTATCCGTGTCATCATACATATAGGACACATGTACATTTATGCAGCAGCAGGTTAATGGTGTGGCCTCACAATGCTGATACAGTGGGGAAATAAGTGACGGACAGGCAGATAAACGGACAGACAGACAATTAGAGCGAAGTGAAGACCTGACGATGCAGAGGGAGATTGTGAACGGATTGATGGTCATTAAGGAGAGCTCTCAGTCCCACAGACAGATAATCAGACAAGCAGCTAATGCAGAGCTGCTGGCAGCGGATTACAATCGGACCCAGTCCACGTCTATCTGTCATGTCTACCCGAGGAGGCAGATGCTGAGCTGTCAGTCATTTATACTGCACTGTTTGACAGGCTGTTTAATACCTGCTACCTGTTGTGTGTGGGTGTGTGAAAGTTTCCCTTCATTTTACAATGCATCCACACTGCCAATACATGATTAGGTCATGTTTGTTTAGTGGAATTGCTCTTGTGTTGAGAGATATGTGCAAAACCTCAAAATTTGTTCACAGACAAACACTCACTTACTAGATCTGTGGAAATGTGACATAATGGATAATCCATCTAGGCAACCCTCTAGCCTGCTCCCATGGCCCTTTGATGAAATGCTGGCATGGCCGTACATAATCGATAATAATAATATCAAAGACAGGGCTTTGCATTCCTTCTCACACACATACACTCAATCAGTGCACACATCATGCTCAGGTGATACTTTATTGTTTGGGTTTGATTTTGCAGATAGAGGATGTTAATGGGTGCGGAGCACAGTCAATGCTTGATTGAATGGTCTGCTGTTTACAATGAAACACATTTACTTGTTTTTTTGTATCCATGTTTCTGTAGACTGACTGAAGTAGAGCCTCCACAAATACCCCCACACTGAGCATTCAGTGGCTGTCAGACCTCCATCCTGCATTTGTTCTGGAAAAAACGCTACCCTCATAAGCCTGTTCTGATATTATTAGACCAACTTGGTCAATAGCCAATATTTTGCAAGCATACGTTTTTATGTTAAGGTTCTCTATACAATATCCAGAGCATTAAGATAGCATCAAGCAACTCTCTCTCTCTCTGTTTATATCTGAACTTCTCTGTGCTTTGTTGACGTAGCCGGGCCGGACGTGCTGTTCTTAGTGCATGTGAGGGTGCCCCACTGGCTAGCTCTTGGTAGCTGCTCTGCACCAAAAACGCCCTGCGGACCGAAGGCATCGTAGCAGAATTGTATCGCCCACCCTTTGGTTTTCCCAATAGGTGCACACTGTTAGCTCTGACAGCACTGTCAGCACTGCCGTTGTTTGCACTGTTTTTGTTAGCTGCGAGAAAAGATGTATCGCTGTGAGCCTCAGCCGTTGCCATGTTGAGAGCTGTGCGGAGACGATAGATATGCTCTAAATTTCGTATTGAGCAACTTTTACAACTTTATATTCCTTATTTTGCCCTACTATTTTTATTTCGGTATAAACTACCGTACAAAGAAAATGACATTTCATTGCAGTTTTTACACACTGCTGGGTTTATGGATGAACTTCCATCGATATTGCTGCCAGACTTGACATGACTGCTAAAATGAATTTCTAATAAGTTTAATGAAAGGCTGTTATTGATCCAATTTCACCTTGATTAAAACATGCTTCAATATTGGCTGTGTAAATGGCTTAAATGTGTGGTGTATGACAGTTTATTTAGCCTGTATAGAGTAATGCTTTGTACTAATGCCCTCACAGCACGGGCGGAAGCTGGAAAGATAAATGGGGTTCACTCTGAAATTTAGTGTATGTGAGACCCTCTATTCGTGTCGGCCTGCTTACTGCGCATTTACATGTCAGCAGATTGAAGCTGTTGTGACCCTCCCCCCTCCCACTGTCCTGGAGCCTGTCCTGGCAAACAGTGTTATGTTGTAGCTGAATAAATATGTTGAACTTGTGTCTGTTTGTGCAGTATACTGTAGATAAGTGGTGGAGTAAATTTAAAAAAAAGTGTGTAGAGGTTTTACATTAGTGTGTGTGTGTGTGTGTGTGTGTGTGTGTGTGTGTGTGTGTGTGTGTGT